TATTAAAAAATTTTGGCAAATGGGCGTAGCCACGCCTACTTATGGTTACATGCGTATATCTTGGTAACCGCTGCACCAATTTCTTCCAAACTTGGCACAGTTGTTGGTCCTGCTACAACATACCAAATGGCCGAAAATTTTTAAAATCGAACAATAACCACGCCCACATCCCATATAACGGTAATTTAGAAAAATACGAAATCCTCGATAAATCAGTAAATATTAAAGCTAATTTATTCAAAATTGATGGTTGCTACAATTTTTTACCAAGAAATGCGCTTATGATACAATTTTGGAAAATGGGCGTGGCACCGCCCACTTATGATCACATATATGTATCTCGCTAACCGTTCTAGCAATTTGAACCAAACTCGGTATGGTTATTGTGCTTGCCACATAAAAGCAAAGCGTTGAAAATTATTGAAATCGGACTAAATTACGACCGCTTTTCATATAACGGTATATTTCAGTAATGCTTGAAACTTCAATATTTCGAAATTTAAGGACGCTAATTTACTTAAAATTTATACACCCCGGCTTATCGTGTAGCGGTAGTTTTCGGAAAGGTGGAAAACATATATTTAATAATTGCGCCGGATATTTAATGTTCGGCTCCGCCCGAACTTAGACTTTCTTACTTGTTTTGTGCAGTGCTAGTGCATAAAATAATTTTTCAATTTTTTGTCAGTGCCTTGAGATCTGCACGATTCGTTCCATTTTCAAAAATGAAGTGTCAGATTAAAAAGCTTGACCTGTGGACAATAGGTTTATTTTTAGATTGTTAAAAAATTAGATTAAAATTTTTTTATAAGTTAAATGAATTATTAAAAGATGGGTATCAATCGAAATGTGTATTAACTACATGTAGAGAGTTGCCACCTGTTTAAAAAATCACATTCCACTTGAATTAAAGGAACTAGGTAATTGAAATAGATAGGGATAGGGATAAGGGAGTCAGACGAAAGAGGTTTAAGAAGGTTTTAGCTTAAAAATATTACGAATAGGTTTGCCAGCTGTTTGTAAAGTTGAGTTAACGTCAAACCATAGGATTACGCTATCGCATTTGTTGTTTTATTACAAATACATACATTGTCAAATAGTAATTTGTTCTGATTACATTATATTACAGGACTCTTAAATTAAATCAGGAATGTTTTTACTCTCCACTTATTTCTTGCTAAGTTTGTCAAATTTTTTAATTTGTCTGATACTCATATTGATATACATATTTCAATTACCTTATTCCCTTAATTGAAGTGAATTTGATTTTTTAAACAAGTGGCAACCCTTCTACGTGTTATTTATAGGTAAAGTATTTTCAAAACTAGTTCAATTGATACCCATATTGTAATATCTAATTCATTTGACTTATTAAATAATTTTAATAAAATTTTTAACAGGTGGCAACCCTTTTCAAAAGTAAAATACTTTATTGCACATCTACAGGTCAATCTCTGTCATTTGACACCTCACTTTCGAAAATAGAACGAACTATATGTACATACCTATGTAAAAGCCGCAAGAACCCAAATTTTCAACTTCAAACTGCATTTACAGTAAAACTATAAAAGTTATCCAAAAACTAATTGCATTTTTGAATTTAGCGTTCTCACTTTTACTAAGAAGCGAGTTTTCATTTAAATCCGTCCATAATTCTATTTTTTCGCACATTTTATATGGAAGGGAGCACTGTGTTACGGCTCGATTTTAAGTAAACAAATAAATAGACGTTTTTTATTGGGAGCGGGAGCGGAGCGACGAAAAAAACCCTTTAGCAGTGTACCCCGCAGGCTTTGATCAGATTGGAGTGCCAGAGTTCGTGGTGCTCGTTGAAATCCCCAATAACTAGCGCCTTCTAGTATCACACTTATGTTAGGCGGTATACAGCTGGACATTAAGTAGTTGGTGGTATTACACGTTGACGAATTCATTCTCAATATCCGACTTAATAGCCAAATCTTGGCAAGGCGCGAATGCGCCGTTCGCATCAATTCGGGGGTAATGCGCCGGTATTGAACCACGGTACGCAACGTAAAGACGAAGCCGCCTCCGGCGTTGCGAGGTCAACCTCGTCGGAGAACGTTGAACTCATCCTTACTTTGAAGTTTCAAGCCGGGTGAAATTTGGTCTCCTGGTTTGCCGCGACTGAGTTTTTTTGCGTGTCATCAAATTGACCACCTCAGCTATCTTACCTTGTAGCCCGTTGCAATTGAACTGAAAGAGTTTCATTGAGTTTGGCCTGGTGACTGTTACACGGGTGAGAGAGTACTGGTGCACTGCCTGATCTGCTTTCTGAGCTTTCCGTGCTGGTGGCGGCCTGGTGGTCCTGCTGCTGGTGTTATCAGCGGTGTTTGCGTCAGTGTCGGTATGTGCGTGGACGATGGTAAGCAAGGCCTGAGCAGCATTTCATGTGGTAACAATTGTTGCATTTGTTGCACCCTATTGATGTGATATTGCTTTATCAAGTTGCAGAACCCTCCGCGTAGTATTCCCCTTGTTAATGGTTGGGCGGTGTTTGTGCATGGTGAAATATGAACTAGTAGTCAATTAATATTCTGAGAGCTTCATTTATTTATTTTATACATATTTTTTGGTTAAATAACATTACTAAGAGTAGGTTTAATTTTTTGTGTATAATTGGAGTTATCTTTTTGTAAAAACGATTTTTAAGTTTACAGAAAAACTCTCCAATTGGTCTGCTTTGTGGTAAGTCAGAAGGATTTACGTCTCAAAGTTCAAGATAAATTCATTTTTTGGCTAAAGAGCCCAATGTAGATTTTTCATAATGCAAGCTGGTTTTGACTAACAAAAATACAAATTGATATCTTATGATTATATTTTGTATTAAGAGAACAATAATTTCGACATAACATCAGTCCCTTCGCGTACAAAACAATTTCAGAAATTTTGCCGACTTAAGCCATTTTCAGAACAATTATTGCAGGCATGCTTTTGAATTCATCGCGAATTTTTATTTTTATATTTTTTTTATTAGCTCTCATAGTTTTGACCAAATCGCTAAGCTGTTGAAGAGTGTAAACGCCTTGCCGCATTGGAAGCCAGTAACGTTTTTCAAAAAATGCATCGTCGTTTCGACGAAGAGGACTTCCGTGTTACTTAAGTGAGTGCCAGATTTACAATCATGAGTGAAAGCTTGGTCCAATGCAGTGAACATAAGATTGAGGTCTCTTGTTTAAAATAACGAATTTTATCTAAGAAATTAAGTTTATTATATAGTTTTATTAGTTTATTTTATGGTTTTTGTTACTTTATTTAGTGTTCTAAAATATCACGATACTTAAACTTTACAGAAAAAAAGTTTATTGGTTTATTTCATTTATAAGTTTAAAAAATGTACACAAAAACTGACAAGAACAAACTAATACATAGAAATAAAGAATTTAATAAAACGCATAAAAATCGCCGAATTTATTTTACGTCGGAATCACCGCAAAACAAATCAAAATAGGCGTCGTTGAATCGACGCCTTATAGTATAAAAAATAAGAAGTGCCATCTACGGTTAAAAAACCCGATACAATTATTAATTCAATGGCGGTATTCTGTCGAGGTAAAGCAAAGCACTCTGAAGCTACAAACATGTCCAGATATTTACTTATAGCCCGTTAGGTTGTTGCAGCACGATGCAACAAATATGACACCCCACTCTCTGTATTGCCGAAGACCCGAACAATGCTTTCGAATGACACCATTTGTTGCAGCTGTTGCAAAGGACAGGGGTTGAACACGTTCAAGTTCTTGGGTTCAGACCAGTGGTGTGCGGAGAAGTCTTGTCGGTGTGGCATGCTCCCATGGCGAACAAATGGATGAGTTGCTGTTGGAGTGATAGTCCTTGGTTGTTGTTGTTGTAACAGCATACAAATTCCCCAAAGAGGTTTTGGGGAGTGTTGCTGGAGTGGTGGCAGTCCTTGGCCAGATATATATCTATCTGGGTCGTTCCGGTTACGTAAACCCGACTGTCGTGGGAACTATAGTCCTTGGTCGAAGTTGGTGCTTCAAGTCAAACCGAAAAGCGTACAACCGACCATCTTGGGATTGGGATTATTTTCAGTCGTATTGGTTGCAAGTTGCTAAGCATATTAATAATAATAATAGATTGGCGCTTACGCATATGTTAGTGTTTGGCCGAGCTTCTCCTCCGATTTGTGGCGTGCGCCTTGATGTTGTCACACAAAGCGGAGGGACCTACAGTTTTACGCCGACTCCGAACGGCGATTGTATTTTTATGAGAAGCTGTTTTTCATGGCAGAAATACACTCGGAGGTTTGCCATTGCCTGCCGAGGGACGACCGCTGTTAAGAAAAAACCTTTTTCTATATTTTGCATATTATACATCTTTATTTCAGTGGCGCTGCATATCGGCCACCCAACCATACATTTAAGTAGAAGGAATTGATCAGAGGAAAAGTTAGAAAGTCAGACCAATAAACCACATATGTATATCTGAGACCTAGGCGCAGGTTAAAAGAAATTCATTTGTAGTTTTATGCATTTCTAATTATATACATTTCTTGCATAATTTAAAAAGCACGTTTTGTTTCACACACTTCTGAATACACTCCACGCTTACCAACAAAGATGCTCGAATAGAAATTGGATTTATGCCACTGAATTTTGTGGATAAGCTTGAATTTCCTACCGAACTTTTTAGACAACCCAATATATTGAACAAAAACGTCTTTCAATATAAGTTATTATACATGCACCATTACTTTCGTTTAATGGCAACATCGATCTATTTTACAATAAATACATAAAATACAACTTTGGCGGCAACATATTTTTTATTTACAATTTAGAAATTTAGAAATTTACGTTAAGTACAAATTTACTAACGTATTCATATTGTAACCACTCTTCTCAGTCCAGTAAGAACTAATTGTGCGCATTTAGAATCTAATTGCAGTATATAATTTGCCGCCGTAACTATTGCAAGTAAATTTTCACAGAAAAGTGCTATTAAGTTTATGCAGAATTTACCTTTGCGACTGCGCAACAGAACAGACAGGACCATCTTTGCTGATGGTACCTTCCTCAGTTGAATTATTGGGTGGTACGACTTCACGATGCCGCACGAACTCGCAAAGAGTTTGGCCAATTTTGCCACTTTTTAGAGACCACAAAACATAGAAATCTGCAAATAGAAATTATAGGCGGAAAATTACCACAATCTACATATTTTCTACCAGGAAATTTTTGACATTTCCATATCACTTGATAAAGTATATAAAAACATGTTGATTAAAAGCAGGCATACACAATCCCAATTTTTGTAAAAATCTTAACATTCATTCATTATATTTTAGATATGTATTTGCTGTAATTTTATTAATAACGCCGATATGCGTTCAAATATTTAAATAACACAATTATTCCCAGCCAGTTATGGCACCCATAGCAGTTTCTTTGGAATAGTTTGCGTTTGCGATGTAAAATCGAACATTTTCCAACTCATCCAGCGGTCAGAAAAACTTACAACTTCGAAATATTTTTACTTATTTTAAAGCACGGCAACAAAAAACGATCATTTGTAAATGGGGAGTTGTGGCAAATTTGGCACATTGCGCGACAGCTGATTATTTTTGAATGAAAATTTTCTTGCGACAAAATGACGATATTATTTGAGCTGGCAATCATGGCAAAGTCAAAGTCGCGAAACATGGTTTTTCATTTCGCTCGAATACTTTAAGAATATGAATCACGACTGCTTCCAAATATAATCGTAAAAACTTTTCTTCTTAGGTTCTAAATTGAGTCAATAATAAAAAATTCACAATTTGTGCGTTTTTCGGTGGTTATTTGGCAAAATTTGTATGAATTTTTTTACATATATTAGAGTATAGTTTAACCGTAATCGGTTGTTGGTATGCGCGCGCATACCAATTCATTTTTTCGGGCTTCGTTAAATATGTTTGTTCAAATAAATATTTTGGCGAGTACTTTCACACCACCGAACAACAAATGGCGCTGTGGGTCAGAAATGCCCTAACTAAAAAACTTACACGTCTGACGTTGGTATGCGTACTCTTGTAAAGGCTTTTGTAAATGCATTTGCCCGTATGCTTGTTTCGCGCATCTTCATGATAGTTCATGACTGGCAAGCAGCAAAGCAACGTCATTTCAGCATTCGTGGTTTATAGGGCGAAGAATTCGAGGTGTCGTGAAGAGAATGTTTATAAGAATGTCCAGTACCTCGTTTATTGATGATGTCCAGTCACGTTAGGCTTCTGGATAGAACATTTCGCAGCATGTTTCCATCAGAGTTTTCTTCTTTGTGTTGTTTTAGAAGTTTTACTTTATGGCCTTCTTGAAAAACTTGAGTGCATCCTTGTAGGGCTGCCAAAAACCTTTTCTCTTGGCTTAACTGAAAAGCCTCCTACTGAAATCTCAAGATTCCATCACTGGAGTGTTCGCCGCTTCATAAATTTGTAACGATGTATGTCGCATAGCTGCAAACCGATTTCTTTAGGGTGTTTAAATTTTTCTCATTTTCCATCCTTTTTCTCGCTTGAAATTAAAGATCAATAAATAACAACATAAATCAATGAAAAATTCATTGGTCCGCTTATCCACTCATTTCGTTTTCATCAAGAATTTTACCAAATGATGAGAGTTAAAGCACTAGAATCCACCATAAAAATATTAAAATTTCGCTAACGTATATGAACTTCATCAATTTTTGTACATTAACACATTGACGCAATTTTGTACCCATATAATTTATAAGATACGCTGCAATCACTTTTCCTGCGCCAATGCGTCGGTTTTTGTTACAAATTAGTAAGAAAGTTGTTTTTTTGTAATTAAAGCACAATGAGACGCGTTTTGAAAAATATAAAATAAGTATTTACTAAACAAGCTATTACGGGGCTTTCGCTATTAAACGCCCAATTTTTCTGATATTTTCGCCTCTAATAATGCGGCGAACAGGTGATTGGCTCACATGCGACATTTTCTCTATTTCACGGCTATTTCATGGGTA